ATTTATTAAATAGCAAGCACAGTTGCACTACAGTTGTTGTTTTTGTGTTTTTTTTGGCACTGGCCAGTGCAGGGATCTGAACCCTTGAACTTGGTGTTATAAGGCTGCGCTCTAACCAACTAACCTAACTGGCCGGCCCCATTTTAGAGTATTGAAAGCAGGAAAAACTGCCCAAAGTTCTCTTTTAGTTATGCTGCTGAAAAAAACTATAGTTATTACAACTTGCTTGCATCATTCTGCTTAAGACTGAAAATCCCAGGAGAGAGTCTGGTTGGCCAAGCCTAAATCAAATGACCACTCTCTTGGGTGATAAAAGAATCTCTAAGGATCAGGATTTGTATCTCATCAAATCTACATACAATGAGGAGAGAAAAACTCCACAAGGAAAACTATGTACTATTTTGAAAGGGGAAACTGATGCTATATTGTTATCAAAATATCCTTTTGCACCTTTGGCTGCCTAGTATCCCAACAACTTTCTTTGCATACACCTTTACCTTGGTGTTTTCAGCACCACCTTCTCCCAAGTGAGCTAAGTGGCCAGCCCCCCGAAAGCCATGGGTTCTTGTGCAAGTGATTCACTCAGAGAGCACTCTCAGGTGGAGAGTGTGGAAAGCAGGACAGGGAAGGGAAATTAGTTAAACCATGTGGCCCAACTAGAGATTACTATCAGCCTGATTCCACAGAGTTCTGGAGTCTGAACTGTACACAGAATTGGCGCCAGTTTGAGACACAGGTACGAATAAATTATCAGAAAGGCTACCTGATGAATCTCGGAAGGCCCAACCTAAATGAGACCACTTCCACCTAAAACTTATGGTTTGATAGCATTAGCTTTCTTTTTCCTGCTCCTATGGGGAATTCCAGGGCCCCTAAATTCCCATATGCCTTCTTTGACTGAGTTGAACTTTCTCCCAAGTTCTCATTCCCATGGATGGCAGAAAAACTAAACTTGCCACATAAAAGCTGGTCTCTTCCAATTTTAAGTGGTCTCATTTAAGGGAAATAATTATTCAGTTAAAGGTCAACCTCCTTATTAGGACTGTTTTCTCTCCAAATTCTTTCTGTTGCCTCCACCATCCCAGGATGTATTCTGGGTGCAAAGGCATGTTTACGTGTTCTCCTGATAACAGGATGGGAGGGTCTTTGTCAGCAAGCGGGCCCTGACGTCTAGCTGGGATGGTAGTCTGTTGGGGGTATGAATTTTGGTCTCTGGTCTCCCCATAGCTACTACCGAATGACCAAAGCTAATGGTGTGGTTTTTCACACTAAGACCAGTGGACTAATTTGACTAACTTTATCCCACCTTGGCTTTTACTGCAAATCTGCCATGTTTCCATCCAGCCCCTGGCTGGGCTCTCTGCCTTATGGCTCCTGCTATGCAATAACCACACCCCTCCACCATGACGACTCCATGGCAAGCCCTAGCTCTCAACTTACATACGGAAGTCAAAAGAAATTGTGCGTGTGTGTGTGTGATCTCGTTATGTCTTTGCCAAAATATAATATGCTCTATTTCTGCTGTGCTTTCTATCCCATGTAGTCATAGGAACACTGTGCAGCGAGGCTTGTGCATTGCTTCTCTGCCTTTGGCTTCCTCTTCAACCTATCTGGGCTTCCTGCTCATATTTGTCCCCCAGTCATCCTGCCCCAGGCTGAACTCTAGGGAGGTCTGAGGGACCTAGTTGGCGTCTTCTACCCTACTCTGTCTTGCCAACTCTCCTTCCTGTCAGGATTTCTCCCTCCTTTGGACCCCCTGTAAATTTTTATAAGGGATTAAATGCTTTCCCCCCTACCCTATAGACTTCTTTGTTCTAGGGCAACCGGCCCTCCCATTCCATAAAGTCTGGTCTTAACTGTAGAAAGACTTCATGTAAAAAAGGGCAGAGAAAAGGATTAAGAGAGAAAAAAAGTTGGAAGTTATGAGGTAAAAAATTTTCTAAGTTATGACTATAACTTTTCCTTTACTCACGTGTCTGGGGATTAGGAGATGCAAGAGTTTGGAGGAGCAGGAAAAAGTGGGGGAAAGAGCTGTTGGATGGGAGGACAAAACCCTCATGGGTTCTGGACAAAAAATGAGAGGGATGCTAGAAAGGTTTGAGCTCATAGGACAGCCAGCATGCCAGTTTACCCCAACCCTGTTGCTAGTGTTTGTCGATCAGTTGACAAAAAGGGGAAACCACCCCCAACAAGGTCAAAGGTTCGGTTCCCCAGCTGGCCACACAAAGAAATTTTTTTTTTTTTTTTTTTATAAAGATGACCGGTAAGGGGATCTTAACCCTTGACTTGGTGTTGTCAGCACCACGCTCAGCCAGCGAGCCAACCGGCCATCCCTATATGGGATCCGATCCCGGGGCCTTGGTGTTATCAGCACCGCCCTCTCCCGAGTGAGCCACGGGCCGGCCCACACACAAAGAAATTTTGATGGAACAGTGAACATAAGCTTTCATGTGTATAATGTTCTGAGAAAAATTAAAATACAGTACTCTACCTAGCAGCAATCTTAAGCAAATAATGTCATTTGCTTGTGGGACAATCATTTCATTTTAAATATAATTTTTTATTTATTTTATTTATTTTATTTTAATTTTTTTAAAAAAGATGACCGGTAAGGGCATCTTAACCCTTGACTTGGTGTTGTCAGCACCACGCTCAGCCAGTGAGCGAACCGGCCATCCCTATATGGGATCCGAACCCGTGGCCTTGGTGTTATCAGCACCGCACTCTACCGAGCCACGGGCCGGCCCCCAAACAGCAATTTTGAAAACCATTTCAAAACGTCCAATGTCCAATGTCAGGCCGGCCCGTGGCTCACTCGGTAGAGTGCGGTGTTGATAACACCAAGGCCACGGGTTCGGATCCCATATAGGGATGGCCGGTTCGCTCACTGGCTGAGCGTGGTGCTGACAACACCAAGTCAAGGGTTAGGATCCCCTTACCGGTTATCTTTAAAAAAAAAAATATATATTGCTGTTTGGTTTCCTCAAAGATTTTATATATTCCAGTGATTCAGTGATCAAATGTTTAGGATCCAAGTATTTTACATTATAATCACAGGACAATAAAACTTACTAGATCAAAGGCAAACTATTAAAATTTTGTTCAGCCTGGTTTCCAACATGTCTGTCAGCATTTTAGTGATAGACTTTCAAAAAGTTATGCTAATTTTTTTTTGGAACCTTACATTTGCTTAAACTTTTAGAGCTTTCAGTAAATTAGTTTATGTATTAGTTCCGTCTTACAAATTTGGTTGTGCTCCATTTAATGAATTTTAAGAGCTTAGGTTCACTTGTCACCTTTTCATAGCTGAACTTTTTATTTCTTGGCAGCTGGCTGGCATGGAGATCCCAAACACTTTCACCCTTCCTGAGAATTTTCTGAATCTATACTAACTCCCAACCCAACTTCAAACACCATTAGGTTTACAAACCAATACTGGCAATGCGAAAGTCCTCTCCCTATCAAAGCTGTATAACCGTTATAAATGCCAGATATTCTTCAACCTATTTAATCTTCAGAAGGTTCATGTGTTCATTGTCTGATTTCAAAAGGCAAAAATAAAAACATTTTCAGCTACTAGCCCATGTGCTTATTTTTGAATGACCCCTGAAAGCTTTGAAGGCAGGTTCTCTCCAGGGATGCATTCCTCCAGTAGCAATAACAATGTGACTAATACCATTTGGTAATTTTTTTTTCTAAGATCGGGATGGGATTATTATACTCTTAAATAACCCCAAGTCAATTGTACTTAAAAATGCCCAAAAAAGGGCCGGCCCGGTGGCGCACTGCGCTGGTGCACCGCTTGGGAAGCGCGGCAGCGCTCCCGCCCGAGGGTTCGGATCCCACATACAGACCGGTTCCCGCTCACTGGCTGAGCGAGGCACGGGAGCAACGCCGAGGGTTGCGATCCCATTGCCGGTCCCCGGTCCGGTACGGGGGCAACACTGAGGGTTGCGATCCGTTGCCGGACACGGAAAAAGACAAAAAAAAAAAAAAAAA